AAAAGGTAAATAAATTCAATGTCAACTATGCTGTCTGACATAGCTGACAGTGAATTTATAGAACTTGTTGCTTTGAGGTAGTACAGCTAAAAATATAAGCATACTAAAATGGTTTCAACAGATACACCAACAGTGGTTTCAAAATGTATTGCATAAAGTTTAAGGGAAATCTTCAGTATATTGAGTTCAGCTGCGTTCTCATGAAACAGTTTTGGTGACATAAACCTTGAACATTTGTAGCACTTGCATCTTGATGTAATTATTATTACCCAGCTGCTTTTCTGAGTGGAGTGGGGCCATTCCTGTGAGGGAAGGTGTTAAATACATGTTTGTTGAGTAGAAGAGTGGATCACATGATGACCTGGATTGACTGTAGGTCAGGAGAATGCTCATTTTTTTTGTACTTTAGGCCTATAGATAAAAATAACAGGAATAACGCAGGAAAAAAATCTTTCTGAAAGTTTCCCAAAATGTTGACCAGAAAAAAAGCTAGATCTATTCATTTAAAGCTTCCAGTGTAGCCCAGCTGCTGTGGCTCAGTAGTTGAGTGTTGACCTATGAACCAGGAGGTCACAGTTTCAATTCCCTGTCAGGGCATTTGTCCGAGTTGTGGGCACATCCCCAGTAAGGGGCGTGTAGGAGGCAGCCAATCAATGATTCTCTCTCATCATTGATGTTTCTATTGCTCTATCCCATTCCCTTCTTCTCTCTCTAAAAATATAATCAATAAAAACATTTTTTTAAAAAAAGCTTATGTGATTTGAATTCATTTGGTGCCACAACCTCACCTGATCTAATAGGACACTTGCTGGTCGATTTTTTCCCACCTCGTTATGAATGTGCTTACATTTTTGCTGCAGGAGCACTCCTTCCTGATTATGTGACATCCTTTCCCAGGGTCCAGTTGGGGTATTATGTGATATATAATGAATACACTTTTTTAAAATCTGAAAACTTCCAAATTCTGAAACACATCTGGCCCTAGGGCATAGGGTAATGGGTTGTGGACCTGAGAGAGTGTGTGCTTACACATCAGCGTTTCCTCTTAGACTGCCAAGTGCTGGAGAGCTGGGACTGTCTTATTCACGCGTAGCCCCGATTCTTGGCACATAACAGAAATTCAGTCAACATTTGGTGAAAGAATGAACTACGTCAGAAAATACCAGTTAGGCGAAGGGAAACAGACCTGACCCTGGGAGCAGCACCTTATTTGTTTCCTGAAACATAGACAACACAGGTTGCCTTTGGTTTACAAGACGCTGAATTGGTTTACTTCTGGGGCATTTAAAAATATTCAGTGTAGCCCTAGCCCAGCCGTGGGCAAACTACGGCCCGCGGGCCGGATCCGGCCCGTTTGAAATGAATAAAACAAAAAAAAGACCGTACCCTTTTATGTAATGATGTTTACTTTGAATTTATATTAGTTCACACAAACACTCCATCCATGCTTTTGTTCCGGCCCTCCAGTCCAGTTTAAGAACCCATTGTGGCCCTCGAGTCAAAAAGTTTGCCCACCCCTGCCCTAGCCGGTTTGGCTCAGTGGATAGAGCGTTGGACTGCAGGCCAAAGGTTTCCCGGATTCGATTCTGGTAAAGACCACATACCTCGGTTGCAGGCTCCTCCCCAGCCCGGGCGCTGGTTGGGGCGTTTCTTTCACATTGATATTTCTCTGTTTCCCCTCTCTTCCACTCTCTCTAAAAATCAATAGAAAAATATCCTTGGATGAGGATTAAAAAAATAAATTAAAAAAAATCCCACACCCTACCCAAGAAAAAAAAATTCAATGTAATGAGAAATTCAGTAGCAAAATAAAAAGCCAAAGCTTAATGCCTATGCTACAGTTTAAGAATCTCTAACTTCTATTTTTCTCTCTTATCCATTCACCCATGCCGCTCTTAAGTTTTTGCTGACTTCTTGAGAGAGAAAGCCACATGGGAATATCCGTATACAGTATACTTGGGAAGAGTAGGCAAGAGTGTATTTAAATTCCTTGATAGGAATGATCATACAAGCTTTTAAAATATCCTACCTAATTCATTATGGGGGTAGGGTTTTTTGAATTTTAGAAAGTGTAGAAATTATATTTTCATTTTACATGCTTTCATGATCAGACTGAAAATTATTAGTAGCTAAGCTACTTGTATTTCTCTGTCTCGTATGATTAAAATAGCTATTCACTAACACAGCAGTATAATTGTACAAGCTACATAATGCCTTGCTTTATTAAAAATTCTGTGGACATTTGAAGAAGTGGAGGGAGAAGGCAGTTTGAATTATGCAACTGTATTTCCCATTTTGTTTAATAAATTGGCTTGGATACAGTGGCTCCTTGGTATTTTTGATATTTGTAACTGGTACAGCTGGCTTTTAAAAGATAACCGATATGCTGCTTTCTGCTCCACTTAAATACTCTCACTGTATGATAGTTACCTAAACTGTGTTAAATGAATCAAATATTCATGTCAAAAAAGAACTTAGTCAAGAAGTTACAGTAATTGAAAGGGCATTTTAAACTAGTTTAAAAGTTGTTTTACTCAGCAATTTCAATACCACTTCAGAGTTGAAGTGAATAAAGATGGATACCTGAGAAAAATTCTTATGGGAATTTGGGTTCTAATCATGCCCTGAGCAGATATAAACGGAGCCTTGTGCTCAGAGAAGCAGAGGAAGTTATTCTGTAGAAACAGGAAAAACAAAGACCTGAAGAGAAAAGCAGGACAGTTAGAAAACGAATGCTACCAGTTTTTAGCCTCTGGTCTCTTCCTGAGGTGGTAAGAGTCATGCCTTTCGGTTCTGTGATTCATCCTAAATCTTTAGAACAAAGTTCCCTTTATTTCTTAAGCGATTTCAGGTTAGCTTATTTACTGAAGAAGAAGGTGCCTTCAGAATTAGCGACACAGCCAAGAACAAAGCAGACAAAGTCCCTGCATTAAGGAGCTTCTATTCTGCTAGAAGGAAACAGACAGCAAATAAGCAGATACATGCTAAATGGTGTGGAGTCTTTGGTGACCTGATTGAGAGAGTGAGGGGGCTAGATGGGTGCATAAGTGCTATCAGGGAAGGTCCCCCCCTCCCCCCTTAGAGGTAGCATGGAAGCAGAAGTAAAGGACCTGGGGGGGGGGAGGGGGGAGTGTAAGAGCATTTCAGGCAGAGGGAAGAGCAAGAGTAAGGACACGGAGGCCAGAGCTACTTGTGTCCCAGGAACATGAAGAAAGCTTCTGAGGGGCTGGATCAGAGTGAGAGAGCGACAGATGAGGTCAGAGGGGTGTGTGTAGGAGCTGAGTAGGACTCTAATTCAAAATAAAGATTAAGTCTCTCCTCCGAGTGGAGCGGAAAACTGCAGAAAGATTTAAAGCAGAAGAGTGACTTGTGCTTTGAAAGGATCACTAATTGCTATATTTAGAATATAGATTGGAGCATGGTTGAAAGCAATAGAAAGGAGACCCGGTGAGAGATGATGATGGCTTGGACCAAGGTGCTCAAAGTGGACATAACCAGGGCTGGTCAAATCCTGGACACTTTTTTGAAGGACTGTTTGCCATGCTTTGCTGATGGTTTACGTGTAGGGTGTGAAGGGAACAGAAGTGAAGGATGACTCCCATGTCTTTGGCTTAAACAATTGGAAGGATGGGATTACCGTTTACTGAGATAGGGAGACCTGGGGTAGGGTGGGGTTAGTTTTGAAGTAGTAAGTTTGAGGTGTTATTAGACGTTTAAGTGGGTATGTCTGTGTGTGCCCTGTTGGGAAGTGTTTCTCACAAGACTCCATTCTAGTACTAATTCTCTCTAGTTTAGTCTTGAAAACTACAATTCAAGATTTCGCTTCCATCCTCTAGTCCAGTGATGGCGAACCTATGACCTCTGACACGCGAACTCATTTTTTTGGTTGATTTTTCTTTGTTAAATGGCATTTAAATATATAAAATAAATATCAAAAATATAAGTCTTTGTTTTACTATGGTTGCAAATATCAAAAAATTTCTATGTGTGACACGGCACCAGAGTTAAGTTAGGGTTTTTCAAAATGCTGACACGCCGAGCTCAAAAGGTTCGCCATCACTGCTCTAGTCACATTCCACCATAATACCCTTTATAAATAATCTCGATCTATATGTACTTAGCAATTTTACATTCTAGTAATAATTGACTATCTCATTGGCATTTCAGAAGGAACAAAAAGAAACTATATGTCAATATTTTTAAAGTAGATTAACCTGTAAATGGAGAACTGAATTCGTCTCTCTCTATTTTTTATAGTTGTTTTGTGTTGTTAATTTTGAAGTAAAAATTTTCCAAAAATGAGTGAACTGGAACAGTTGAGGCAGGAAGCCGAACAACTACGGAATCAGATCCAGGTAAGAGCAATCCTTTTCATTTTCTCAAAAACATTTTTAACATTTTTAACTCGTACCAGTAATGAATGAACTAGATTTGTTCATTAGGTCATCAGTCTACAGATGTTAAATAATTTATGAGACAAGAAATGGTCAATTTGTTTTATCATATATCTAAAGAACTCTCCAGAAATCATTCCTAACAAATACGTATGTTGGACTAATGGCCTCTGTGTCCCAAAGAAGTGAATATCATATATGTAATCCCTCCTGAAAGACAAGCATAATTCTCTTCTTAGTCACACACCTGGAATCATAGTTTGATTTTTTTGGTGCAATACGACGAGGCAGATTATCACATTGTAATATACTAAAGATTATTCACCTGTAAAACATTACATTGCAAAAAACATTAAAAGGTATTAGTGGCATAATAAAGACGTGTCGTCTTTTACTCTTGCAAATCAACTCAAAACAGTAAAGAGCATAAGAAACAAATACAAGCTCCATTTTTAACACAATTGAAAGACCCTTGGAACTTCATCATAGGATGGGGAAAGTTGTCAAATATAGCGATGCTCTGGGGGGAAGGCTCTGAGAGGGGTTTCTGCAGCTGCGAATCTCATACAAAGTAGGTGGCACTCCCTCGGGGACAGCTCCAATAATCCTTTTTTGGAGCAATGGGAACAGATGGTTCTCTGGACTGAGGAATATCAAGATAGGCAGAGAGAAAAATGAAAGGGTACAGCCTTGCCATCTTTTGGGAAGCCTCTTGTTGACAGAGTGGAGGAAAGAGACTTGTGGGTAGCCTGGCGCTGCTTGCTTCTTTTCACAGGGAAAAAGTAAGGGCTGAAACAACTTACAAATCTAAATGGAGATCTTTGGCATGAAGCAGGGAGAATTTCTAATAACTCGGACTACCGCTGTGGCCCTCTCCAATATGAGCTTTTGCAATAAGTATTTTGGAAGAAGTCATCTCATTTAAAAGTGAAGAGTAAGAAAAAAAAGGAACAAACACAGGCTCTCTACAAAGATATTACAAGAAAGGAGGGACCGGAGCAGGGAGAGCAAGGACTGGGCCAAGAAAATTCACTGGGGAAATGTTGATTGCAATAACCAGTGGATTGAAATCATAACCAGTCTTATTGTCGGGAGTGCAAAGAAGTTGAAGATCTAGATGTGAATAAGAACTTGGAGTTGATACCTTAGGTGTGTGAACAAAGCTGACAAAACAAAGAGGGATTTATTTTGCCTGGAATGATCAGGGAAGGCTCCATGGGCTAACCTCGGAGTTAGATGTTGTTGCCACCCCCAGAAAGGATTCCCTCTCTCTCTCCCTTTTGTGACTTGCTCCATGTGCTGAGCAAGATCTACTGATTAGCCAAGCACATGGTCACATGCCCACCTTATTTTTAGAAAATTTCTCTGTATTTATGAGTTTCTTTCTTTTCTTTTTGGAGATTTTACAAATAAACGAGATCATAAGGTATTTATCTCTCTGACTTTTTCACTTAGCATAATGCCCTCAAGGTCCATCCATGTTGTTGCAAATGGCAAGATTTCTTTCATTTTTTTGTCTGAGTAATATTCCATTATATAGATGTATCACCTTTACTTTGTCCATTCATCTATCAATGGACACTTAGGCTGTTTCCATTTTGGGCTATTGTAAATAATGCTGCAATTATTCACAGAACATGGGACGTCTGTATCTTTTTGAGTTAGTATTTTCATTTTTTTCAGACAAATACAATTCTTCAGAAGTAGAATTGCTGAATCATATGGTAGTTTTATTTAAATTTTTTTGAGGAACCTGCGTTCTGTTTTCCAAAGAGGCTACACCAGTTCCTTAGTACACCCCAACAACAGTGCATCAGGATTCCCCTTTCTCTGCATCCTCACCAATACTTGTTATTTATTCTTTTTTTTGATAATAGGCACTCTAACATGTAAGGTGATATATAGCATTGTGGTTTTGATTTGCATTATCCTGATTATTAGTGATGTTGAACACATTTTCATGTACTTTTTTACATTTTATTTGGAAAATGTCTATTCAGATTCTCTACCCATTTTTAAATCAGATTTGTTGTTGAGTTGTATTGGGTTTATTTGTGGGCTGTCGTCTGTTCCATTGATATCTGTACTTATTTTTATGCCAATAGCATACTGTTTTGATTACTGTAGCTCTGGAATATAGTTTAAAATGAGGGAGCAGCTGATGTCTTCAGCTTTGTTTTTGTTTCTCAAGATTTCTTTGGTTATTTGGGTATCTTTTGTGGTTCCATACAAATTTTAGGATTTCCTTGAAAAATGCCATGGGCTTTGATAGTGATTACATTGAATCTGTAGATTGCTTTGGGTAGTATGGACATTTAAATAATACTAAGTATTCCAGTCCATGAGCATAAAATATCTTTTCATTTATTTGCATCTTCACTTATCAATGTTTTATAGTTTTTAGTGTTTTATCTTTTACCTCCTTGTTTAAATTGATTCCTAGCCTTTTAATTTTTTGATGCAATTGTAAATGGGATTGTTTTCTTACAATTTGTCTTTTTGATAGTTCTTTATTAGTATACAGATACACAACAGATTTCTGTATATTGATTTTGTATTCTGCAACTTTGTTGAATCCATTTATTAGTTCTAACAGGTTTTTTTTTGGTGTGAGTTTTTAGGATTTTCTATATACCATACTGTATCATCTACAAATACAGTAGTGATATTTTTACTTCCTCCTCCCCCCACCCCCATTGATTTCAGAGAGGAAGGGAGAGGGAAAGATAGAAACATCAATGATGAAAGAGAATAATTGGTCGGTTGCAGGCCCCAACCAGGGATCAAGCCTGCAACCCAGGCATGTGCCCTGATGGGGAATCAAATCGTGACCTCCTAGTTCATAGGTTGACACTCAACCAATGAGCCATGCTGGCCAGGCTTTTCATTGCTTTTTCTTGCCTAATTGCTTCTGCAAGGACTTCCAGTGCTATGCTGAATAAAAGTGATGAGAGAGTGGACATCCTGGTCTAGTTTCTGATCTTAGAGGAAAAGCTTTCAGCTTTTCACCAGTGAGTATGATGTTAACTGTGGGCTTGTCATATATAGCCTTTATTATTTTGAGCTATGTTCCCTCTATGCCCACTTTGCTGAGAGATATTTTTTATTATATATGGATGTTGGGTTTTGTCAAATGCTTTTTCTGCATCTATTGAGATGATCATATGATTTTTATTTTTTATTTTGTTAATGTGGTGTATCACATTGATCGATTTCTAGATATTGAACCATACTCGCATCCCTGAAATAAATCCCACTTGATCATGCTGTATGATCCTTTTAATGTATTGTTGAATTCCATTTGTTAATATTTTGTTGAGATTTTTTTGCATCTCTGTTCATCCAGGGATATTGACTTGTAATTTTCTTATGCTATTCTTGTCTGGAATGACTGGTCAAGCACATGGTCACTTGTCCATCTCATTTAATCCTCATAGCAACCCTGTGAGGTAGATGGTATTACTTCATTTTGTAGTTGAGGAAACTGAACCTCAGTGAGAGAGAGAAAAACATAGATGTGAGAGAGATACATTGATTGGTTGCCCCCTGCACGCATCCCAACCAGGACTGGTGATCAAACCTGCAACTCAGTTACATTCCCTTGACTGGGAATTGAACTCGTGACCCTGGGGTGCTTGGGCCAACACTCTAATCACTGGGAAACACTGGCCAGGGCAACAGATTTATTTTATTTTATTTAATCCTCACTGCTTTTAAGAGTGGAAGGGCTGGAGGGATGTAGAGAGAGAGAGAGAGAAACATCAGTGTGAGAGAGACACATCAATTGGTAACTTCCTACACGAGCCCTGACCAGGGCTGGGGATCAAACCTGCAACCCAGGTTTGTGCCCTTGACTGGGAATGAACCCATGACCTTTTGGTCTGTAGACCAACACTCTAACCACTGAGCAAACCTGCCAGGGTGGCAACTGATTTTTTAATTGAATGACTGAATTAAGAAGATGACCTAAATGATATAGTTCATTTCATAAAGCTTAAAATCAGAGAGCCCTTTTTTTAGAATTTAGTCTTCAAGTCCACCATTTTTGGAACATAGCTCAGGCCATCACTGTCATTTCTGGAAATTCTTTTCGTTGCAGGAAAGTGGGCTAAATCATTCCTTGCCGAATGAGGTTTCTTAACCCACAATTTGACTAAGAATGAGAGAATCAAATCGTATGTTTGTATAACTACGTATAACACCCTGGCATAGAGATATTCTAAGTGTTTATAAATAGGTTGAAAGGGCAGCCAGAAAGATTATGCTGTCCATCTAGTCTTTGCTGCAAGTAGAGGCAGGCCTTTTCCCCCTGCGCTGTGGAACACATCCATCTGGCACATTTATTCAACAAATATTGTGTGCTTCCTCTGTACACGAGCACGCTAAGCATAGTAGGGAAAAACAAAGTTGAAAAGGATATTACCCTAATACTTGAGGGGGAAAATTGTTTCAAGTCCAGTAGGAAGAGTTAATTGCACTTCTGATTTTCCCATGTTATATGAATCCTGTAAATTTATTATTAAACTTGGTTTAAAATCTTTTTTGCTTATTATGTATGTTCTTTCCTTATTTTGTTATATTGATTTCTGTTTCATTATCTTCCTTTTGATAATTCCCTTCAGTTTGTGTAAAAATTTAAGATCTCTGAAAGTCTACCCTAAAATGCTTAAGCATAAACACCAGCTTACATGCTATTAATTAATGCTATTAATATATAGATGTGCAACTTAGTATAAACTGTGGCTATTATATAAATGTTGTTTTTCCTGAAATGTCATGTCTTTTTCTCATATTGGATCTAAAATATTTTATTTCTAATAGCATCTGTATCCAGTGTATTGGAAAGCATTGCCATAGAAGTGCTATGTAGTTTTAAAAAACATTTCTGAAATGACCGGGTTATACTATAAATATCATTCCTATCACCTCGACTTCTAGATGCCAGAACAAACAGAAGGGGAACTCAGATCTCTTGCTTTTGCTGCAGCTTAGTAACAAATATAACTGTGGATGCTGTGGCCTTATTAAATCAACCTAGTTCATTTTTACTCAGGGAATACAATTACAAATTTATTCGTTATAAACCCAATATATATTTGCACAATGAAATACAATAGGGAGTCCATAAGTAAGTCAATTTGCCACAGATATATGATTTTTCAACAAGGGTAACAAGACCATTCAATA